ATCACTACCGCTAAAAATAAAATTTTCTAAACAGAAAATCTCCAAGAATTAGCTGTTTCGTTTCTTTCTCACCAAGTAAAATTTCTTCCCGGTTACACATTTCAGAACGCAGAACGGAATAGGCTTTCCACCCGATTGACTTTGCGGATTCACCATGTTGACCCCAAAAAATGTTGCCAACAGATGCCAGACCTACACGCGCACACGTGAGCGTCCTACACGATAAGACACATGGACGGCCTAGAACGAACGGATCGGGAGCGTGGAAGTAGTTCAACGACGCAGGACGAGAACGTTCGAAATTCAACGGGATGTTCATATTCCGATTGTACAATAATTACCAATCGGTGCTCATAAATGTGCATGTAAATATGTATGAACTCATATTGTGTTGCAAGATAATATGAAAGAGAGAGTAAAGTGTGGTTTCTTGTATTGATTATTGCATTAGCCCTTTAATGTTATACAAGGGAAGTATTTATAGTGGTACATGTGAAATAGCAGCCTTTGGATGAGGTGACACATGTCCTCATCTCTTTAATCCAAACATTCAATTCTAAGCATCATCCTGCTAGCTTGCTCCGCATTTATTGCTTATGCAGAACCCCCATGCTAATGACAAGACTTAACATGTACACTTATGACAAACGTTCCATCAATTATTCAAACAAGATCTTTATGTAGAAGATCTCTTGGAAGAAGTGATCATAGAAGATGTTCCTTCATGGTTCGGAGGCTTCTGCTTCGGCTTCGGATTCTGATTCAGAGCTTCTGCCACTCACGTAATACTTCCGCTTTAGGGATTCAGCTATCTTTTCGGTGATCTCGCATCATGATTTTGTTTCATGGGCCTCGGTGTATGGACTTCGGCTACTTTCACAGGCCTCGGTATATGGGCGTTGGCATAAAGGGCCTAGGCCATACGTGCCACCTCGGATGGAGCGCCATGTTGTTCGGATTGAGTGGGCCAATGGCCCAAATAAGTTGGCCAAGTATGACAACACGTAACATACCATGTCTTCCCCTGCTGAGTAATTTCTTTTCTTTACTCTCTTGCACTATATATATTCATATGTGTTTGTATCTATCAAATAATGTAAGTCTTTGCTCACGTTTTACGATTGATTAGTTTTGCTGCCGAATACTTGTATATTTCTGATTTTTTTTTATTTTTTTTTTAATTGACTACCGTTTTTGTTTATTCCTTTTTTTCGGGTTACGAATTATGATTAAGTGTCCGACTTTTATAAAATGGTTAAGAATGAGTTTAATTTCTCCCCAACTTATTACTCACTAGGATTTGGATTGTGGACTTGAGATATGGGCCTAACTTTGATAATTGAAATATTTTATGTCTATGATATCAAAAAGTGGTTCTTAAGAAGGAAGTTTTGGATATTAAGGGATGACCTGATGTAACAAGTCTATGGTTTTAGAACGGGGGATGGAGGGAGAAAAATATCATTGTTTGAAATTTTAATGTACACAAGAAGAGCAGTTGAGTTCCAATTATTAACGAAATTACAAAATGGCATTGCCGGAAATGATCATTGTATTCTATTGGACCTGCAGTTCTTGGAAACTTGCTATTCTTGGGAAATGTTGTGCCTCCCCAGTTTTTGGATATTGCCATGTACTTAGATACGTTGGCATTTTGTTAAGGATATCCAAGGTGATCTTTAGAAGTAGATACGAAGCAACACTTGAATGACCTTAGCAATAATTTTATCATTAGTCCCTTGTGTGATGTGCCAGAGTTAAATTGGTAAATCATGATGTTAAATGTGAAATCAAAGATTTATGCCCCTAGTCAATTTTGTAGGAGTGAAGGCTGGGTAATGTGGCTTAAATAGTTTATCCTAAAACTATGTTTGATAGCTATATGAGAATGGTAGAGATTGGTCTCCGTAAATTACTCGATTGTACCTGATGGTAAGAATTCGAGTTACTTCATTGTGAAACCATGATGCTATTTAGAGTGAACATAGTAAAAGAAAGAGATAGCACTCAGTGAATAAAATAAGATGCCTTCAAGTAAAAGACAAAGATATCACTTGGTCTCTTAAATTGCCTTTATCTCCATCAAGTTGATGCTTCACTAAATCTTAATAAGCTTCCCTGCTCCAAATATGAAATTTTCTAGAATGTATTGTTCATCTCTCTTAAATGATTCTGGATTAATAATGTGGCTTCCGTTGATATAGGCATTCATGGTTTGATATATTCATAAGCATGATACCAACTCACCATGAAATTATGCAATGCTTCAAACACAGAATACGAGCACGTCCTGTAATTACCTCGATAATATGCATCTATACATTGTATCTTTATTTTAATAAACTTTTGTTTTCAAAATGAAATTAATGCATTTTTAGCTTTATAGATGAATTCACTTTGAGTGACAATTGATATATTAAGATAACTTTGGGTTGCACTTTGTATTACTAGTACTAATTAAATAAAAATATTTATATATCCAAAAGTACACATCGTACATATAAAACGAATTTGACAAAGCTCTTATAAGTTTTCTTACACTATATTGACTTTCTTATACAAAATTTTCAACGTTTAAAATTTTCTTAATTTTATGTACTGAAATTCACAAACTGGAACACTTGCCTGTCACACGTTGGCCTCTGTCCTTGCCACATGTTGTGTCAGGGTTGTCCCTTGTCAGAGTACATATATGATAAGACTTTCTAACACTTTACCACACTTGTCCTGATGTCAATTTTCAGTAGTTACTTTACAACACTTGTCCTGGCGTACCTGCGGGACTCCACTACATTACGCTAGGGGAGTGTTTCTGTTCATAAATAACTTCATTGGTTAATTTCATAAACGATCACTGAACTTATAGAAAAATTACAAAATAATCACTGAAATTTAAAACTTTTAGTAACGATCACTTAAGTATTGGAACACTTTCAAAAATGGTCACTGAAGTTTATAAAAAATTTTGAGCTACTTTTGCGGCAATTTTTCGACCACTTCCGATCACTGATACCATATGATTTTGATATCGTTGGAAAGCCTACAATATCCTCTTAAATTACAACAAAAAATCTCCTCCAAACTCCAAAGGATTCGGTCGGAATAAATCCACAAAGTTGGCTGCCCGAAAAGACCAAAATCTGTCCAAATTTTCAGACTTTTGGTGGACTTTTGAGGCGATTTTTTGACAACTTCCGACCACCAAAATAGCCAAATTTTGATACCGTTGGAAAGCTCACAATGTCCTCTTTAATTAGCATCCAAAATCTCCCCAAACTTCAAAGGATTCGGCCGAAATAAACTGACAAAGTTGACATCCCCGATTTTCGTGAAAAAACAAGCCCATCAAACAGGCCCTGAGGTGTAAATCAAGATTTATTAGACATATTATTACACTAATTCCATCAAATCAGTCATTAAAACAGTGGAATGATTATTTTCAGATTTGCGGGTCTAATCACGTACACAATTATTATAAGTTAATGGCCCCAAATTAATATTATGATGTATTCACAGATCTTTTGAATGGATTTCCGTCCCTCCAAACATCAATTAATCAAATCTTAGCCCCCGTTTAATCCCATTATTTGGATTTATAATGGGGAAATAATATTTTTTTAAGATTGTGTGGTTGAAAAGTTTTCGATTTGAATGTAATATTATTTTATTTAAGATTATGTGATTGAAGGTAGGAAAGAGAAAAAATTAAATTAAATTAAATTGAAGAGTTTTAAAGGAGCCCAAAACAAACCAGCCTCGATATGGATTACCAGAAAAGGACTTCGTTTGGCTACCAAATGATGAACAAAATACATTCAAATGGTAGCTAAGCAAGCTTACCAGTTCAAGCAAAGTACACTATTCAAATGATAAATAAATATAGCAGAAGGAATTTGAAATTTTTCATTATTATAAAGAAAGGATACAAAACATAAAACTTAACTTGTTAAAAAAGATGACATTCATTAATGAACTGATCTAACAAATGTGAAAAAAACATCCAAGACTCATGTAACTTTTAGTTTTTGAGATCGCTTAATTGCAAGGTAAGTAATGGGCATACCAAAAGCATTTTGTTGGAATCAATTTTGGCAAAATGGAAGGTGATTGTCCTCGATGCATGTATATGGAAAAATGCAAAAACAAGGCAAATTTTCCAATTTTTGAGTCATTTTCGAATCATAGTTATATGTCGATAAAATTGTAAAGGGGGAGCTGTACCAATCCTGAAAGCTCATTCATTCGTATATCTTCCTGATGGAGGAATCGAAAAATAGATACTAGCCCCCTATTTGCTTCAGATTAAAATCCAATTCAAGTCAAAGTCAACAATTAATTTTAATAATAATTTTAATAGGACTTATAATTTTTTAACTATACATTTTATCAATTTTATCAAAATTTACTAAAAATCCGATTTTAATTTCCACCAAATAGGACTCAAAAAAACATAGTAAAATCAACAAGGATAATAAAACGCCATCAACACTACTCCGAGCATCATCTTTAAGAAATATAAAGTATATTTTTCCTCCAGAAGATTGGTAATCTCAAAAGAACGAAAGAATATTTAAGTGTTTAGAAAGAAAAATATTGACAAATAACAGAATACATATAAGTTTAAGAAATATATCCTGACCATTAAATCCGACATACTCAGTCTCAACCATAAAAATGGAGTGATCCTAGTATTTGAATGCGAAAGGGCACATTCAGACAAACAATCTAGATCGAGCCTATGCATCACACACATAGAAATACATGCATATTGGACAACGCATTAAAAAAGTGTAATTATTAATTGGTCTTTTCATTTAATCTCACATCAATGGTCATTACTGCAACCCTGAGAGGTAGCTCAGTGGTCAAGCCTTGGGTTTGCTCCCCAATGATTACCAGTTAGAGTCTCCTCAAAACCACTGAGGTGAATACCCGACTATAAATTTCAGGATCCCGTGGAATTAGTCGAGGTACGCATGAGCTGGCCCGAACACCCATGATTATAAAAAAAAATGGTCATTATTGCACAAAATAACTTTGGAAGTTGCAATACTTTTTCCTTACGTGGAGTTCGTAAATTCGCCATTTAACATAAATAGTTAAGCTCAAATTTTGGAGACTTCTGAGTTAGATTTTTTCGGCCTCCAATCAGTCCTCCCCTTGACAATTACAGGCCCGGTTTGCAGTTGAAGCAAATGCTGGCACTCAACCTTACCAGAACTTGCCAAGTCACCAACACCGTTGCTCACCACGGAAGTAAGGGATCGCACCACACTATCCATCATACATTCCCTCCTGTACTCGAGAGTAATGCCAGCAAGTTCACGAGTCTCCAAGATAGGTAATGGAACACACTGCAACCAAAGTAAACCACTCACTGTAAGATGCAAGTTACCTTGAAACAAGTCCTAACGGAAGCCAAGAGGTGAAATAGCTTTCTCACAGTCATTTACATACAAGAATAAGTTGTTGTCAATGCCAGTCATTAAGAGGGCCCAGACTATTTTTATTTTCTTTTTACATATACAAGTTAAGTGTCTTTTTCTTAGAAACTAAATCTTAACAGTGATGGAGAAAGCACGATGCGGTAATAACCAATAACTGTAAACACATGGCAACAAAGAACAGTCCAGCAGACGGTAATTTGTGACTGATGTTGCTGAAACAAGATTATAGAAGCGTTCGCATCTTGAGATTCCTTCTAGAGTTGATATCCACGCATGCATGCGTGAAACCTTACCACACACCAATAATGCACAATTCATGCAAAAGTACAATATGTATAAAAGGAACATCTCAAAACTATAACTAGCTAGAATAGGAAGCATGATTAAGCAGTTTTTGAAAGTAATATTTGTTTTTTCCCTCTAAAAAAAGCTATTGGAGTATTTAGCATTTACTCTCCCCTCCCCCATAAAGAGAGGTTTGCTATCCCTTTTTGTCTGTCCCAAAATTATAGATCACTTCCTCATTGAGAGCATTGATGATTTTTTAGTTTTCTAATATGCCCCTATTTAATGTGTCTTGTTATCATATTTTAATGAATAGGTATATTGGGAAAAATGTAAGAAAACTTTATATTTCCAATTAAATTAATTACATTTGTCTTAATCTGTGTGAAAATAGAAACAAGTTTATCTTTATAGGACATATAGAGTACAAATTATTATATCCTGTGGTTAAGGGTTTTTATCCTGGCTAGGCATGGTGAAATCTATGGGTCTATAGATTTTTTGATTAAACTAAGCTCATTGATTATTCAGATTCTTAAGCAGATTACCATTAAGAGGTATTCTTCTCCTCCAAAAACCTTTAAGCCCAAAACCTTGCCCATTAGTTACACAATATATAGATTCATCTAGCCTGATGCCTTTCCCCCAAGTTGAACGCCAAAAAAGAGAATATAGGCCTAAAGACTTCAGCAAAGCATTACTGAGCGAAATAAGAATCTGAAGTTTAGATCATATTCCTGTAAAGTAATGTTACTCCACACTGAAGAGGTATCTCACATCAGCTTATGTTAGATGTACACAAAAATATAACATACAAGTATAATTATGTACCTCTGCATATTATCCAAGTTTTCTAAGTAACTTGACAACCTCACAGTCCAAGAAACAACAATCAAGTGCCAAAAATGAACAGAGAAAAATCTTCCAAAGTAAAAAGAAATATAAATGAAAACAGAAAGAAGGTAAAAAAAAGGAGCTGCGACAGGCAGTTTGAGGGCCAAATTCGAAATTCCTACGCACACACTATAAAATAATATAAAAACATATGCATTCCATCCTGAATCAGATGTCTTCTTTTGTATAACGTCGTTCATGCAGAGCAATATTATATTGCATGGGTATTTCACAATTACCTTTTAAAAATGATAAATTCTATTCATACGTAAAAATAAGTACTTCCAATATTTTAGCAGGAATGAAGAAAAACAATGATATATTAAATTAATATAAGGGAGAAGAATATTTACCTCAAGAATCCATCCCACATATTTCACATTATTAACATGCTGGTTTAGGTCCAAATCGCTCCATCTAGGCTGAATTCAAAGATCAGTTTCAATAGAGTGAGATCAGGTGAAGGGGTGTGTAGTGATAAATGTCATAGAAACTGAGTAATGTTCTTCATAGAGAAAGGGTGTGTTACTTACGGTTAAACCAGTACGAACATTATCTGCATTGTCATCAGTCAGTTCTGATAGCTTTCTACTGTCCTCATCCACAACAGGAGGAGAATCCACAAAATAGCCTCCTATTTCCTCTCTGACCTCATCTGGCATTTTGGCCAACTTCCTGGTCTCTTTATGCAGCATCACCCATTGACTGCAGTTAATTCATAAAAAATCAAAAAGATAGCAGATAGTAAACTAGATTCACACATCTACGGACATTAGCTCTAACACTCATCTAAGGACATTGAAACTAAAGAAATCCAGTTTCAACAAACACGTGATTCAATATACCCAGTGACCATTCCAGCGAGCATGGATAAAAAATGTAGACCACTGCAGATCTATTAACATTTAAGAACTACTTAGTCATCTTTAACAAATCGTTAAAAAAGTAAATAGAGCAGTGTCCAACCTCGAAGCTCTAGTTAATGTGACACCAGTATTGCTATCACGTACAACCCAGTCTCGGCGCATCCCATTCTTCCCGGATGCAGCTACCCAAGTATCGACCTGAACTACATCATCCCTGCAAGATAGAACCAATATCTAAAACAATCAAATTTTACCGAGTTAACTACATAGCATTTACTTGGGACTTTTAACCAAGTAACGATGAAATCAGTTTTTCACTTTTGCTTGGGATTGGAGAAATACTTTCCGGACTTGGAGATGGGTTATCATGAATAAATATAAACAAGGGCAAAACTTACCAAGTAGGATACCGATCTACAATAACCTGCATTTTGGTAACTACCCAAATTAAATTTCTTTTGTACATCTCCGGAGTTGAACCAAAGCCATCACCCAACAGTCCTACAGTCTTTACATGGCAAAGTGCTGTTTCCTGAAAAAAAGAGTTCATCTTGTCAAGCAGCAGTGGACTAAACATATGTAGGATTTTAGTGTAGTGGACGAAACCGGATTCATTCATACCGTATATGAACTTTACATGTTGGATTTATACATATCGTATATGCAGCATACCGTATTTACAGTTTACTGTATATGCAGCATACCGTATTTGCACAGCATACCCTATATGCAACAACTTAGCATACTGTATATACTGCGTACTGTATATGCATTTATTGTCTTTCCACAACGGTTTTGCACTTACATATATCGGAATTGCAGAACACCGTATATGCAGTGAACACGACAAAATCTAGCAAATTTAATTTTCAACAGAATAAACAAATTAATTTGATCAATTAATCTAGTTTGCCAAATAACGCAGATTAATTTTAATAAACATAAATAGAACGACAAAAGTGAGCCATTTACTCATTTTTCCAACAACATATAGTAGGTTCAGTACATAAAAATAACTAGAAAGCACATAAATGCACTAGAACAATGAATTTTCCCAACAATACCTGAAAATAGTTCATCAAAGTCTCTATGGAAGCATTACCATCAGCCCCTGTTTCATATGACCTGACGTTGAAGTTTTGACAAAATATCATACCATCTTGCACAGTCTTTCCTAAACCAGAGAGGTCAGCATGCATGTCTGGCTTGGTCCCATTTACCTTGGGAGAAGCACGTACAAAGCGCTCAACGGAATGTAGGGAATTCGATTTAAACATAATTGTCCTTCCTTGGAGTTTTCCAGGAGTTTTAGCTGAGGCATCTGAAGCTGAAGAAGCTATTAGGAGAAGGGTGGACATTGGAGCAGCGGCTACCATTGTTACTGTAACCTATTAAGTCAGTCTGTGCGACAATGAAGAAAAATTAGCAAATTCTTGGAAACTGCAACCCTCAATGGTATGGCTCCACTTGATCGAAGAATCACCAAAATGTCATTTTCTCTCTCCACAACAATGTAATCCACAAATTAAGACATTATTACTCATTTTCTTTACAAGTAAATATCATGAAAAATTAATCTGTTCACATGTGAAAAAGGATGATCTGTACATCATAAAACAAGAGCAACGAGACAGAAGAGGGGGAAGAGCAAGACAAGAGGATTATCTTATTTGTAGAATGAAACCCTTCAGCAGTTTTTCTCCATGGATGCAGAGAAACATATAAATAAACATATTGGGAAAAATGCAATTAAACAGGAGAACACGTGTTTGTAATTGAAACGATTCATTCAAATCATTTTCCACATGCTTATATGCAGACAAACAAATACAATAATTTTAACACAAAATCAGCAATTTCACTAGCTAACCGCAATTCCAAAAACTAAATAAAATAAAAATAACATTTTCATTAAATGACAGAACCAGATCTGAGAATTCAACCACAAAAATTAAACAACTATTATAATATATTCCATTTTCAAACTCCAATATCAAAATCAAACATTGTTCCCCATCTCACCGTTCCATTCTCCCCTTATAACATAACGAAATCGAATTACATTATAATTCGATCATTCCAGATCGATAACAAAAAGAATAAAAAAAGCACCGAACCTCAAAAATAAAAAATAATAATAAAACAAAAAAATTTCCAACTTACCTTTCTACGGCTTGTAGACGTAAACACTGGAGAAAATACAAATGTATCCAAGGGAAAGGGTAAAAACAGCTTCCACATCCCCCAAACCCCCAATAGGGGGCTGCCACCCAAACCCTGACCGTCCAATGCCAGAATAACTCATGCTACTGCTACGGCAGTGATTGTTAAAAGTAATAAGTTAATTAGGTTAAGGATAGTTTAGTCTTATTATGTTTTCTTAATTTTGCACTATATAAACTACTTAATCTCACATTAGTTTTAGTTTGGAGGCGGCGGCTGCCAATTTTATTTTTTTTTTTGTTTTACTTTCTTTCTTTGTCTACGCATTGTCCTGTTCATTGCGGCCAGGGTTTCACCAAACTGCTACTCCTTTATCCCTTGAACATAGATCAGTTCATATAACCATGAATGAAGAGTTCAATTAAGGAATTTTGTTTCTGATATATCTGCAAAGGCTTGGGTTTTTCTTCTGGTGGCTGAAAAATGGCGACAGCGAACCCATTTGGTTTGTTGGGAGACGACGATACGGAGGACATGTCGCAGCTTATGCACAAAAAAAATCGAGCCGAACAAAGCCCTAGCTCCCTCGGCCGCGCCAAAGCATCGGCCGCAAACTAAGCCGGCGGCGAATGCTAGTGCCTCTGGGCAGGGAAATGAGATAAAACGTGAAGGATCTGGCAGAGGTAACTGGGGAGCTCAGACTGATGAATTGGCTGAAGTTACCGAGGAAGTTGTCAATGAAGGTGAGAAAAATCTGAATGATGAGAAGCCCTCAGGAGAGGACGATGCAGCACATGGAAACAAGGAAACTTCTGCAATTGAAATTGAAGAGAAGGAACCTGAGGATAGGGAGATGACTCTTGACGAGTATGAGAAGATTCTAGAGGAGAGAAGAAAGGCTCTTCAGGATTTTAAAACCGAGGAGAGGAAAGTTGATGTGAAAGAGTTTGTATCTATGCAACAACTTACAAACAAGAAAACTAATCAGGATGTATTCATCGAATTGGGCTCTTTCAAGGATAAGAAAAAAGAATTGGCCGAGAAGGAAGAGAGAGCCAAAAAAAAGTCTGTCAGCATTAACGAGTTCTTGAAGCCTGCTGAGGGTGAAAAATTTTGTACTCCTGGTGGCCGCGGTCGTGGACGTGGTCGTGGTTCCAGAGGAGGTTACAGTTGGAGGTGTGGCCGGCGGCAGGGAGTGTCGGTTGTTGATGCTATAAAGCTACTATGATTGGGATTGTCATTTGGTTAAGGGGCTGAGGAAATTTAATTGGCTGTGGTTGATGGTGGAAATTACACAAAATCATACATTAAAAATTCAACATTCTAAAATTAGATGGCAAGTTTAACAATTCAAAAATCAGAAATTTTATTTTAATCAATATTTTTATTTACCAAAATTCCAAACCCTAATAAAATTAAATTGATATACCCACTCCCACCCCAACCCCCAAACGACAGAAGCCTATCCCCATTCTCGTCTCTCTCTCTCTCTCTCTCTCTCTCTCTCTCTCCATTTCTCCCCCACAACGGCGGCCTTCCTCCCTTCCCCTCATCCGGTGCATCACTGAGGAAGCACCGGCGAGCAGAAAGATGGTGCTGCTGTTGTCGAAGGCTGCGGAGTCCTTGCTTTGGACGACGGCGTTGCGAGTAATGAGGCACATCGCCGAGTTGCTGCGCTGGGTAAGCATGGTGTAGATGTGATTCAGATCGCGCAGATCGCTATGCCGTTGCTTTCTCGATGATGGTTCTGACATTGGCTGTGGTAGCGAGGTGGTGGTGCTTAGGGTTTAGGTATGTTTTTCGGCGATAAACGAGGCTATGGAGATACTGTTTTTGGGAGTGATTTCTTCATTCTCTCATTTGCTTAGGTAGGTGTGTTTTCTATTAGTGATTATTGGTTGATGATGGCTGAGGCGATGGTGGAGGTCGTTTTGGATCTATGGTTACTTTTGTGGTTCAAAACCAGTTATTTTGGTTTTGATTATGGATATGTGGTTTTTCGGTTGGTGGTGAAGGTGGTTTTTAGGGTGTTTTTTGCTTGATGATGACTGAGGCGACAATGATAGTGGTGGTGGTAGTGTTTGCGATGGTAGTGGCGGTTGGCAGCACGACTGTGGCAATGGTGTGTTGGTGGTGGTTGGTGATGTGGTACAAAAGTGTTTGTAATCAACTATTTGGGGGGTTTGTGACCAATTGTCGAGGAGTGGTGGTGGTGATGGTGTTGTAGTGGTGGTGATGTCGACGATGGTGGCGATGAGCTGGTGGTCGAAATGGTGGTTGGTGGTTTGTGACCGATGAAATTAACCGTGACCAATTAATTTGATAATTTACAATGAATAAATGAGCTGTGACCAATAAAAGTTGATTCCGTGACAAATGAATAATCTGTGATCTATAAAAAAATTTACTCATGACCCAAAAATAATATGTGACTTATGAAATTTTTTATTTTTGATCGAAAAAAAGTCGTGACCAATAAATTGACAAGTTGTGACTAAAAATTAATCGTGACCAATTAATCTAATAATTTGAAATGAATATATGAGTTGTAATCAATAAAAGTTTTGATTTTGTGACTAATGAATAATTTGTGACCTATAAAAAATTTTATGTGATCTATAAAATTTTTGATTTGTGATCGAAAAATAAGTTGTGACTAATAAATTGATAAGTTGTGACTAGAAATTAATTCGTGACTAATTAATTTTTTGATTTGTGATCGATGAACAAACTGTGACCTATAAAAAAATTTATTCGTGATCGAAAAATAATATGTGACCGATAAAATTTGTGTTTGTGACTTATAATTTATTGAGTTGTGACCGAAAAATTAATTTGTGACCTATAAAATTTTTGATTCGTGATCGAAAAATAATATGTGACCTATAAAATTTGTGTTTGTGATCGAAAAATAAGTTGTGACCAATAATATGATAAGTCGTGACTAAAAATTAATCCGTGACTAATTATTTTTAAAATTTGTGACCAATAAACAAACTATAACTTACAAATTTTTTGAAATGTGATCGTAAAAAAATTTGTGACATAAAATTTTTGATTTGTGACCAAAAAATAATATGTAACTAATTATATTGTTAATTTGTGACCAAATTGTATAGATCTGTGACCTAAATATATTTAATTAATAAAATAATTAATTAACTAATTAAATTATAAATAATTGTTAATAAAAGTCTGATTTTAGAAATTTGAAACTTGTTTTCTTGTTTTTGAAATGTGCCATAATTAATTTCTTAGTTATGAAATTTTCCCACTATTTAATTAGGTAAACTGATAATTTATTCTTTTGGGCTATTGTTTGGGCTGCAAACTTTTTCATAGTTTGGGCTACCGATTGGATGAAAGTTGGGCTTAGATATTTAGTTTCTTTTTTTTTTTTTTTTTGAAATAAAAGGAAACATAAAGGAGAAATTTGTTTGAAAGCATAGTGAATGGGCTGAATTTTGGGTTAAATTTGTTTGGTCAGCAATTTGGTTTCTGTGATTGGTTTGGGCTGCTTTTGGCGTATTAGACAACTTATTGGGTCGGTCAATTAATGTTGGACCTAGTTTGGATTGGAAATTTGTTTTGGTGTTGATCTAGTGTATTTGAAATTTGGCATTTGTCGAGCTTGAATTTGAAATTTGTGTCCAGTTCGTGGGATTGAAAATTTCGTTTGATGCCCGATTCACGGGATTTGGAAATTTCGTTTGTTTGCCCAGTTTATGGGATTAGAAATTTCGTTTGTCCAATCTATCTGGAGTTTGGAATTTGACATAGTCAGTTCTTGGAATTGATATGTCAAGTTCATTTGGAATTTGAAATTTGCATCCGTTTGGTTTAGCTGAGATTGTGTGGTTTCGTCGGTTATCTGCAATTCGGCATCATTTCCCTACCTTTCGTTGCTCTCCGTCGTTGTAGCTCATAGACTTTGCCACGAAGTCAAATTCGATTTATCATTTACGCTTTTTGTTGGTCAAACTATCGTTGCTCCTTGTCGTAGCATCGTGAATTTGAGGGAGGATGTTAAAGTAATAAGTTAATTAGGTTAATGGTAGTTTAGTCTTATTATGTTTCCTGAGTTTTGCACTATATAAACCATTGTAATCTTACATTATGCAACCAATTTTGGAGGCTGCTATCAATCGATTTTCTCTCTTTCTCCTCCATTCTTCATCTTTGATTTGTTGTTTTCTACATTGATAACTGGGAGATTTGGTTGGCACTCCCGACCTTTAGTTTTAGGAATATGCTAGATGTACATAGGCTTGTACATTCGGGTGTCCATAACGGGTGTCCATTATGGACACCCGGCCGAGGCGCCTACCACGTGCGTCGAGACATCCGATGTTCAAGCCAATGTACGTGTAGAATGGTCCTTAGTTTTATATAATCAATGAAAATTTAGGCGGATTAGCAACTCGAATTTTGTTAAAGTTTTACTGTACTTTGGAGATTTACTTAGCCCCGTGCCTATATTCTTTTCAAATTTTAATGATTAGAATAGTGTTTTTTTGAAAAATATGTGATTGAAAAAGAACGAAATTTTTTTGATTTGCGTATAATATTATTTTATAGAAGATTGTGAGGTTGAAAATAAGAGAGAGAGAGAGAGAGAGAATGAGAATTGGGGCCAAACGGGGCTTTAGTTTCTAAAGAATCCAACTAATTAAGCTTCAACTTGACCTAACATATCTAAATTGAGGAGCGAAGGCACTCCAAGAACTTGAAATCGAAGGGCGGGGAAGAGCTGATGGCGAGATCGATTTTTTGTTCGAGGTTCAAGAGTTGTTAAACTGTGACAACATGCACTATATTTATAATGTATCTGCTTGTGCATAGATGCTTGTAGTTGTAGATGAGATGGACTTCATTCTTGAATGGACTAGTTTCTATTGTTTATGCGCAATTCAATTTTGATTTTAGTTGGTATATCCTCGACTACATAATAGTATTTATTTAGTGATATAATTTAGCAAAATTGAAATGATACTAAAAACAACAAATTGAATAGAATTTCCACTGCTCGTCATTTAAGGTTCTGCAAAATTTCAATTTATTCATTAAAGGATTTTCTGACCATTTTGATCACTAAAGTTTATAACAGTTTCACGATTGATCACTCGATTCGAAAAAATTAATGTATGTTGGAGTTTGACCTAACGCTTCATTAAATAAATAGTTCAGATCACCGTCCCTGTGTTGGGAATTTACTTAAACATGCACAGCGGAATTTAACAAATTTCAATTCCCATTCAGAATTCAACTTTGTATTTAGATAAAAACTGTGATGAGAAATATACCTTTTGTGTGATTTGCAAACTCTTTCACGTTATTCCTTTCCAGCAGCTTGAATCTGCCTCCCACAGCTGTCCAATTGTGCAGCCTCCAATGAAATCCACACATAGAGAAAACAGCAACTGCTAGGGTTTCTTTCTTGTGCTAGCAAGAATAATGAATAACTTAATGGACCTCAAACCCTAGCTGCATATATATATAAACCCAAACGGACCCGGCCCGGTCCGGTCCAATATTTAATTAATCCAATTAATCAAACCCGATCCGTGAATTAATTAATCCAATTAATTAATTCGGGATTATAAATAAGAAATTCAATTAATTAATTTATCCAACGATTGTTAAATTAATCAATTGACAATTTGCAGTCTTCCAATTCTCTTTTGTGTGCGACCCATTAGGTTCCCGACTACGATGCCTAACGTCGTGAAATATTATTTTGATCTAATCAAAATCGATAAATTAATACACCCTTTTAATTTATCGTCAATTCACATTCGCCGTCCCTGATTGACATCTAGCAATGTATCAGGGCAATACATGTGATGGGAAATGTCACGTGGTATGACAAAACCAAATTCGTTCGTTCACCGTGGAACTATTATCCCTTCGTCAAAACGATCCGATCAATTACGAGATATGAAATTGTGTCAATCTCGATCATCGATCATATCTTTCATTCCACTATTAAGTCAATATAAATCGAAAACTCATTTTCGACTTATGAGTACACCTTGGCCAAGGATTTCATCATCGACTTAATTGAATGAAACGCAAATCATAATCTCCTACTATCTAAAAGTGACGAATCATTTATTGATCAATCACAACCTTCATACGATTCTTAACACACCTGAACGATGTCGTATTAGCGGCCCCTTTCAGAGCAACATCCAACACCGCCAAAGTGTGACTGTCCTCATATAAGGTATCATGACGACCTCAAGTC